TCAGAGAGGAAGGGAGAGGGAGAAAGAAACATCAGTGATGAGAGTCATTGATCAGCTGTCTCCTGCACACTCCACAGTAGGGATCGAGCCCACAACCCAGGCATGTGCCCTGACAGAATGGAACTGTGACCTCCTGGTTCATAGATTGACACTCAACCACTGAGCCTCACTGGCTGGGCTGGGTGCATATATATTGATCAGTGTTAATTCCTAATTAATTGTCTCCTTTATCATTATACTATCTATTTTTGGTCTCTAATAACCTGTTTGTTTGTTAATCCTCACCCAAGGATATTTTTCCATTGATTTAGAGAAAGAGCGGAAGGGAGGGGGAGAGTGAGAGAGAGAGAAACATGGATGTGAGAGACACATTGATTGGTTGCCTCCCGTACTTTCCCCGACCGGGGCTAGGGATCAAGCCTGCAACCGAGGTACGAGGTACATGCCTTTGACCAGAATTGAACCCACGACCCTTCAGTTCATGGGTTGATGCTCTACTGAGCCAAACTGGCTAGAGCTCTAATAACTTTTTTATCTTGAAATCTATTTTGTTTGATGTAAGTACAGCTACACCCACTTTGGATGCCATTGCTTGGAGTATCAAGGGTCTCCTGAAGGCAACATAGAGTTGGGTCTTGTTTTTAATCCATTCTGATACTCTGTGCCTTTTGATTGGTGAGTTCAGTGCATTTACATTTGGGATGATTGCTGATTTGTGAGGACTTAACTACAGCCATTTATCTTGTGTCTTCTGTCTGCTATTTTAGCTTGGTAGTTTTCGTGTCTCAGCTCTGGAGCTTTGTTTTGTGGTTACCGTTGGGTTTATGTAAAATGAAAGTTCCACGCTTACCCTATTCCTTCTGATTGTGGCTCCACTCACCTGTGTAAGTTCCGTTGTCCTCCTCTATGGTTTTGTTGTCACAAAGCATCCCTTTTTTTAAAATATATTTTATTGATTTTTTACAGAGAGGAAGGGAGAGAGATAGAGAGTTAGAAACATCGATGAGAGAGAAACATCGATCAGCTGCCTCCTGCACATCTCCTACTGGGGATGTGCCCGCAACCCAGGTACATGCCCTTGACCGGAATCGAACCTGGGACCTTTCAGTCCGCAGGCCGACGCTCTATCCACTGAGCCAAACCGGTTTCGGCAAAAGCATCCCTTTTTATGATGCGCTCATTTCCAAATTGCAGTTATAGTCTCTCTTTCAAGTACCCTTTCCCCTTTAACCTTTATGTCATATTTGTTTAATACTATATTCTAAAATAGAGTTGCAGTTTCTTCTGTCTATCCATTTTTCTTCTTATTCAGAAGTTTTTATTGATTGATTTTAGAGAGAGAGAAAGGGAGAGAGAGAAAGAAACATAGATTTGTTGTTCCACTTATATATGCTCATTGGCTGACTCTCTGACTGGAATTGAACCCGCCACCTTGGCATATTGGCATATCAAGATGACGCTCTAACCAACTGAGCTACCTGACCAGGGCTCAACAGTTTTTATATGAAATTCCAGAAGAGGCAAAAGTAGCCTCTAGTGCCTGGCCGGCGTAGCTCAGTGGTTGGTGACCTAGGAGGTCACGGTTCCATTCCTGGTCAGGGCACATGCCTGAGTTGCAGGCTCGATGCCCAGTAGGGGGCTTGCAGGAGGCAGCTGATCAATGATATTCTCTCACCATTAATGTTCCTCTCCCTCCCCCTCCCCCTCCCCACCTCCCCTCTCCCTCACCTGAATTCAATACAAATACAGTTTTTTTAAAAAAAGAGTAACCTATAGTGTCAGGAAACAAGCCCCAGCTGGGGCCTGAGGGCTGGTGGGTGATTGACTGCAAAGGGGTGTGGGAGAGCATTTTGGAAGATGTTCTGTTTTTTTGTTGTTTTTGTTTTGTGGTTGTAATTACATGGGAATATACATTTGTCAAAACTCGTGCATTCTGAAAATGAGTGCATTGTAACCGCATGCAAATTATACCTCAACTAAGTTGTTGTGTTTTTTTTTTGTAAGAGTACATTTACTGGGTAACTTGCAGAGGTAGAAAAATTAATTCCTAGAAGAAATGGGCTTAAGAAACAATTATAGAGGTAAAGGCAGGGCCGGTGGAGCTTGGGAGTGAGGAACTAATGGTAACGTGCGGGGCGGGAGCGGGGGAGGGGGAAGGTGGCAGGGAGGCACCGGTGTGCTGCTCCCAGAAGGGAGAGCCAGTGCAGTGGATTTGTAACAGGATAGAAAGGCAGCAAGGGCAGAATATTCACATTAAAGACAACATGAGCTCTGTTCGCTTCTTGAATTTGAGGGTCCAGCCCTTTGATAGGTTTGGTGAGTTCTCCTCAGTTATTTGGTTGAATCAGCCTGTTCCCTCTGCTCGTCTCTTCTCTGGCATTCCCAGTGTCCTTGTCTCTCTCTAATGGAGGCAGGGGGTTCTCGTCGGGTTCTTTCATTGTTTTACACTCTCAGTTCTCTTCCACCTGAGTCATTTCTAGATTTCTATCTTTGAGCTCCCCAATTCTGTCTTCCTTGTGGTCTGCTCTTTCCCATCTTTCTAGTTCATTCTTCAGCTCCAGAATTTCTGTTTTGTTTCTTTTTATAGTTTCAATCTCTCTGATAAAGTTCTTTCATTTGTAGATTTTATTCCTTGGCTCATTGAACTGCCTGAGTTTTTTCATAATTGCAATCTTGAATTCTGTCATTTAAATTATAGTCTTCAATTGTCTTGGAGTTTGTTTCTAGAGACTTTTCTTTCTGAGCTACCTTGTCACTGTGGTTATTCATGGTGCTTGATGGGTTGTTCTCTGCCTGGGCACTCGAGTCAGTGCCCAGGTACTGTTTTGTTCACAATTCTGCAGGTCAATAAGTATAGGTCTTTCTCTTGTTTTCCACTAGATGGTGCTATATTGCAAGTTTTCGTTTTCTCTTACCTGCTCTACTGGCACCTGGGACCTCAGGGCAGTGTTGCCTGTCATGGAAAATCCCCCGTGTTTCCCAAGGAGTTTGGTGTCCCCTCCGTGTCTGGGTTTCCTCAGTCTCGGTACCATCCTGTGATGGGCCATTGGGCTCCGGGCCTGTGAGTCCCCAGTGCTGCCTCTTTGTAACCAGAGGCTGCCATCTGAGGTGTCTCCACACCAGGTTCCACCATGATGGGTGGTAAGGGTGGGGGGGAGGCGGGTTCACAAGTCTGAAGTTTTGCCTTCTTGCTAGTAATGGTGACCACCGGTCTGCTGCAGCCGAGACACTGCTGTGCCAGGTCGCAGCCCAGGTTAGCTGCAGTGGGAGCCTGCTGCTCAGGCGGGAATGTCACTTGGGCCCATTCCACCCTTTGGGCTGCCCCTGGCTCCTCCACTCCCCCGTGAGCTGGGCTGCAGCAGGTGGGGGCAGGGCAGGTTTGAGTGTCTGCGGCTGCCACATGGCTGTACCTCATCTCCCCCGTCACCCACTCGGGCGGCAGTGTGGCCTCTGCCCTCTGCTGTTGCGTGAGGGGAGCGTCCTGCCTCCCCTGCTCGCTGTGGGACACCCACCCTCAGTGTCTCGTGTGCGGATCTCAGGTGTTGACATTGACCAGGAATCCTTTTTTGTTACTTGTCTGCCTGGTAACTTTTTTTTTAGCCTATAGATGTCCAGTTGCTCCAGCACCTTTGTCTCTTCCTTCATGAATTAACCATTTGTGCACCATAAGTGCCTATCGACTCAAGCAGCGGACCTTTTTAAATTAAATTCAAAATACCATGGCAGTTAACTGGTTAAACCTTGCATCTTTGTAGAAAATCACTTGGGCATATTGTGCCTATTTCTGGATTGTGTATTCTGTACTATTGGTCTGTGTGTCTATCAATACCACACTGTGATTCCTGAAACTGCACACAGGCACACCTCATTTTATTGCGCTTCACCTTATTGCTCTCCACAGGTGCTGCATGGCCTACAAATGGAAGGCAAGACCTTCCACCAGCAAGATTACAATTTACTTTACTGCAGTGGTGTGGAACCAACCCTTTGCTATCTCCGATGTATGCCTGTAATGAGTTCTGAAACCTGGTAGACTCCTTCCACTTTATTCTTTTTCAAAATTGTTTTAGCTATAAGTTTAAAAATAATCTTATCTACCTCTATAAAATATCTTACTGGGGTTTTGGCAGGAACTGCATTAAATCTGTATATCAATTTGGGGAGAATTGAAATCGTTGCTGTGTTGCATCTCGTAGTCCATGAACACCGTAAGTCTCCATTTAACTCTTGGTTGGTTTCATTCATTAGTGTTTTGTAGCTTTTGGCATATAAGTCCTTATGTATTTTGTTATATTTACAATTAAGTACTTTATTTTTAGAAGCAATTGTAAATGGTACTTTGTTTTATCCTCACCAAGGATATGGTTTATTGATTTTATTTTTTAATCCTCACCTGAGGACATACTTATTGATTTTAGAGAGAGGGGAAGAGAGAAATATTGATTGGTTGCCTCCTGTATGCGTCCCGACTAGGAATGAAAACTGCAACCTAGGTAGGTGCCCTGACCGGGAATCGAACTGTACCCTTTGGGTGTATAGGACACGCCAACCAACCGGCCACCGGCCAGGACAGTACTTTGTTTTTCATTGTGGTGATCACATGGTCATTGTTAATATGTGGAAATAGGTTTTTGTATGTTTACCTTATATCCTGAGATCTTGCTGAACTCTTATTCTAGGTGGTTTTGTGGGTTCTTTAGGATTTCCTGCGTGGACCAGTGTGTGGTCTGCATGACAACGCTAACACCTGGGTCCCACCCAGGGACTCTGATTGAGTTGTCTGGATATTGGGACTTCTAAAGCTTTCCCTGTGATTCTAATAAGCAGCCAAAGGCTGAGAACCACTGCTTTTTGAACTTGTCCATCCATGAGTAGAGATGCCTTGAGCGTGAGGGCCAAGGGCCCAGACTGCCCAGTGTGCAGTCCGCTGCGGCGTGTTAACAGGCTGGCCCTGGGCCTGACGGCCTCGCTGCTTCCAGCCCAGCACACACGAGACCGGGTGGATGACCAGCCCATTTTAATGAACAGATTGACGCGTATAAAAAGGTACTGTTGTCGGTCACTTAAGTGTCCCCGTTTTCTGGGTGGGGAGTCGTCTTCTCCATGGACTAGAGCCCTGCTCCTCCCGTGGCCCAGCATCTGGCGAGTGCTGCTCTGTCCCCCAGGGCAGGGGCCGCCAAGGGGAGGGAAGGTGTGGGCTCTAGTCGGCTTTTTCACACAATAAGAAGAGCCTTGGTCTTGGCCTGAGAAGGCCACCAGCTTAGACAGAAGTAACTGCTTGGCACAGTGCCTGCCCAGGTGCCGCACATGTGGGAGGGAGGCCGGCCCTTCACCTTGGAGCTGCCCCTCGGCCTACAGCTCTCGGGTCAGGGCTGAGCTCCTCAAGGCTCATTTCCTGGCACTGAAGACCCAGCCCTGCCAGGAGCACGTCCACACCAGCACAACTGGAAGTGCCAGGGACAGCGGAAGGGGAGGGTCCATTGGGAGAGTGTGTGGAGTTGAGCCCTAAACGTGCGCCAGCCGGCCGCGGGGGCAGGTGTGTGCCTCTGCTCCCTTCACGGCGGTGCTCAGAACCTCGGTGCCCTGCGGAGGTGGCAGAGGCGACAGCTGCAGGGTACGTATAAGAGCTCCAGTGCCAGGGCGGCATTAGCACCTGAGGCAAAGGAGGGTTACGGGCCACCGCCCCAAAAGCTGAGTGGGCCACAAGCAACCCCAGCACCCAGGCGCTTCACCGTCACCAGGAGAGCTACCAGCTGACCCCTGCAGAGCAGCGGGCAGGCCTGACCGCAGCCTTTAGACAGTGGGCGCAGGTTCTCTCAGTACTGGCTCCAGCTCCTCAGTCTTAGGGCTCCTGTGGCAGACAGGTTGGCACTGGACTTCTGCGGTGGGGCCTCAGACCTGCTGAGCAGCCCCGTCCAGACCCGACACCAGAGCCACTGCAGTCACCTGCTGACAGGAGCGGAGTTGCTGAGACCCACCCACGGGCACTGGCCAGCTGCGAAATTGCCACCCGGCAGGAAACGCCTGTGGAAGGGAGGGGCACGAGCAGTCTCCTCGGAGGCTCCCTGGCACCGGGGAGCCTAGCGCAGCCCTGGGAGCTGGAGGCTGAGCTTCCTCGGCTCGTGGCCGTCCCGAGCTCCCAGCTCCACTGTCCCTTGTCTGGGCCCTCAGGGTTCTGCTTCAGCCCTTCCTGGCTTGGGCCCGCAGGGGGCAGCTGCTCCATCTACCTGCGGGCCGGGCTCTGAGCTGACACGACTGCCTGCCCTGGAGGCCTGAAGTCAGCACCACAGACACGTGAGGGGCAGGAGAACGGGGTGGAATGGTGGCGGAGCGGCGGGCGGCTGTCGTCAGCACCGGCTGCGGGGATGCCCCTGATAGGCCTGCAGGGCCTCCCGGATGGCCCGCTGCCAGTCTCGGGCCAGCTGCACAGGGGTCGCTGAAGCCTGGGAACAAGGTGGCTGGGTCAGTCCTTTCCTCTTAGCGCCCCCACCTGCCTTCCTGGTGCGGGGCCTGCTGGGACTCACCTGGTTCCGCACGCCCAGCTGGGCTCCGTAGAGTAGCAGCATCTTCATGGCTCTGTGGTGGCCGTGCCGCACAGCCTCGTGTAGAGCTGTGTCTCCTTCCTGTCGAGCAGGGGGACATGGGTGCTCTCCCCGACAGGAACGCATCTCCTAGACTCTCAGGGACCCCGCTAGATGTGCAACCAGGGGAGCAGTGGGCAGCAGCAGCTCTTACTTGACTCACCCCCCGAATCTGTCCCCAAGGTCCTCTGCTCTCTGACTTCCCAGAGCGCTAGAGCAGCCCCACCTCGGCGCTCCCCTGTTGCTTCTACCCTAAGCCCTCGTTCCACTGTCCCCAGCTTTAATGAACGTATCCTCAAAAAAGGGGACATCCTCTTGCCCCTGAGCCGGAGCTGCCCCAAACAAGCGCCTACCTTGTCTTGCGCGTCAATGTGGGCCCCGCACGCGATGAGGTGCTCCAGGCACTCACAGTGCCCCGTGCGCACGGCCACGTGCAGGGGGGTGCTCCAGATCTAAGGGCACGAGGGACAGTGTCACTCCTGAGGGGCAGGCTTCGCCCCACCCCAGGGCTGTGCTTCCTCCAGGAAGTCAGCTCCCAACAGGCTGCCCTCTGGCATGCCCTCACCTTGTCCCGTGCGTTGACCTGGGCTCCGTGGTTAAGCAGCTGCTTGAGGATGTCCAGGTGTCCTCCACGGCAGGCCCAGAACACAGGTGTCCTGTCCAGCTGCAAAACAAAAGCACTGAAGTCTGAGGCACCGCACGCCGGCCCAGCCTCTGCCGGGAGGGGGAGCCTTCCCCGATTCTCACCAAGTCACGCGTGTCCACAGCGGCCCCTGCCTCCAACAGCTTGTTCACAAGCTGGCTATGGCCCTTCAGGCAGGCCCAGTGCAAGGCCCTGCGGTGGAGCTGGCGGTGGAGATGGGAGGGGAAGCTGGGGGAACAGGGCCACCTCTAGAGGTCCCACCCCCACCCTCACCCCCATTCCCAGAGTTGGTGCCCTGAAAAGAGAGCTACCTGCTCCTTAATCATGCAAAGAGCCCCTCCCTCCCGGCTCAGGGGCCCCTGGGATTTGTGTCCCATACAGAAACGCCTGTGGCTCCCTAGGCTGGACTGGAGCACCCGAAGGGGAAGCTGGGGGAACAGGGCCACCTCTAGAGGTCCCACCCCCACCCTCACCCCCATTCCCAGAGTTGGTGCCCTGAAAAGAGAGCTACCTGCTCCTTAATCATGCAAAGAGCCCCTCCCTCCCGGCTCAGGGGCCCCTGGGATTTGTGTCCCATACAGAAACGCCTGTGGCTCCCTAGGCTGGACTGGAGGCCCCGGCACTCCTGCAGCTGCTGAGCTGCTCCGATTCGCCTCCCTCGCTACCTTGTCGTGGGCATTGGGGTCCCCTCCGTCCGCCAGGTACTTGTCAATCAGGGCCTCCTGGTTCTCAGCCGCTGCCTTCAGGAACGCCTCGAGGTCCACGGGCCCTGGCTGGGCCTGGGGCTGGGCCTGGGGCTGGTAAGTTAGGGCCGAGAGCAAGTCAATCGCACACTGCAGGCTGCAGGGACGCCACCGCTTCACTGGTCACACCAAGTGGTCCCCACAGAGGCACTTGGCTTGTACAAATGACAGGTTTTCAAAAACTTCATCTCAGTAGATTCTGGCCAGATAGCTGGTGGGGTGGGGGTTATGGGTTGACTTGTGCCCCCCACCCCCAGTTCATATGTTGGAAGTCCTGACCCCCAGAACCTCAGATGTGACCTTATCTGTAACCATCACTGCAGCTGTCGTGCAGGTGAGGGCACAGGGCGCAGGTGGGCCCTAAGCCAGTGTACCTGGTGTCCTTACAGAAAGGGGACATTGGGAGCAGAGCCATGCACAGGGAGAAGGCCATGTGGATCTGAGGCGGATGTCGGGTGATGTGGCCACAAGCAAGGGAACAGCACGATGACCGCAGCCCCCAGGGGCTTGAGGGGCAGACCCGGCCTCCCCCTGACCTCAGACTCCAGCAGCCCCGGGGCCAGAGCACAGGCAGGGCTCCCACTCAGGCGTGGCTGGCAGTGCCCCTCTTCCCCAAGCCCTCCCGCAGGTGCGGAAGCTCTTCCTCAGAACTCAAGCCTTACTCCCCGCATCCGACTTCTCACCCACCTTAACCACGGGCTCAGGTGCCCTGGGGGGGACTCTGCGTTTCAATCGCTTTTCTCTTCGTCTCTGAACCAAGTTTTCCAAGTCAGCCAGATTCTCCAGATTAATTCTGGAACTCTTAAATCTCTCAAGCTGGGGCAGAAGACAAAAGACCATGCCAGCCATCAGCCAGGGGGCGGGCTTCTTGTTCTCATCAGGCCTCTCCCGCCGCCCACCGCAGAAACACCAGCGCCCCCACTGCCAGCACGCCCGCTCGCCAGGCCCTCCCGGCTCACCCGCCTCACTCACTCTCCTCCTCTTCTCCTCTTCCAGCCTCTGCCTCTCCTGGGCCACAGCCTCATGGGGTCCCAGCCTCCAGTCTCCTGGCCAGCCTCCAGGATCAGGAATTCCATGTCCACATCCCAACACTTTCCTTCCTTCTCTTTCTCCACTTACCTGTAGGGACAGGGAACGGATGAAGAAGACAATTAGGAGCCGTCCTTAGAGAGCCCCGCTGTGCAGTGGGGGGTCCGACAAGAGCTCACCCTTTTCAAAACTCTCGATGCAGGGTTGCTGCTGGCTCTCACCAACTCCGCCTGCCCTGCCCTGCCCTGCCAGCAAGGGCACGGGATGGGATGTGACCCCGTCTATTTATACTGCTGGGCTTGTGTCCAGGGGAGCTGGAGCACATGACACCTCAGCTTCCCTTGCATTCCTATTAGATCACGCCATACTGCCAGCCGACCCCGAGCTCAGGGCACAGGAGATGCCTCTGGGGGTGGGGGTGGGGGGAAGCTTGAATTCCTGGGTTCCAGTCTTTGCTCCTCACAAAGCTGCTTCTTCATCAGTAAAAGGGTGTAGAACTAGCACTCAGCTCAGCTTTGCTGGGGCAGAGCCCCCACACAGTGCTCCGCCCTGCCCGCCTGGCCCACCCCAGGCATCAGGAGCTGGGCGCACCGAGGACCGAGCGTGTAGAAGGGAGAGGCTGGAATGGCAGGACGGCTGGGCCTGGGGCTTCTGGGGCTCCCAGCCACAGGGAACTGTATTCCCTTTCAAAGCAAATGCTGGCCACCTAACACGTCTGGGGCCCGCTGGGCACTGTGGTACCAAAATGTGTCCTAAAGTGCCACTGGCGCTGCCGTTTCTCTCACAGCCCAGGGAACTAGAGAGCACCCTCCTCCCTCCCCACTGAGGCAGCCGGCCTCCGGCCCGTTTCCAGAGCAGTGGATGTCCACCAGCTGAGCTCAACCAAGACCCGGCTACAGTGGTGTTTTCCAAGACAACCTGCCATTTCCTGTTCCTCTTTAGCCATCACCATCCCTGTCCAGGGCAAAACTCACTCCCCTCTAGGATTTTCACGTCACTGCTTCCCTCTCTTGCTCCCTCACCACCCACAGGAGAACCAGCACACAGACCAGGGAACTGCCCGTTTCGGCTCTGAAAGCCCCATCCTCAGACCACAGCAGCAGCTGCTGCCTCCTCATTTTGCTGAAAAGGTCTGGGGGTACCCAGATGACTGGCTGCCCTCCTGCCCCTCTTTCCCACGTCCTTACCAACTGCTGCACGCTGATGACATCCATGGTCCCCCCGCTCTCCAAACCCCCAGTGAGAAGAGCTAAGCTGCCAGCCCTTTTATAGGCGAGCTGTCCCCTGGGGGCAGGCAGGGCGGGGCAGTGGCTTGCACCTGAGCCAGATGACTCTGTGGCTCTGTAATGCCCACCAAAATACCAGGGTGGGCCTGTAGCCGTGCAGGCAGGCAGGGGGAGCTGCTCTGAGCTGAGTCAGGTGCATCCTCGGATACCCACTGCCCTGCACCTGTGCCACCCCTACACCCACTCCGGAGCAATTCCACATAGACACATGTCCTAGGGTGCCTGGGCCACTGGCCCGGATTCAGGGGGAAAGAGCTCCCACTTTCCTAAGTCCAGGCGCCACTTACAAAAAAGGGTCAAGTGTGAGCCCCCACACTGCTGTAGGTCCGGCCGCCTGAGACCCTGAAAGGCCCAGCCCTACTGCCCTTGCGAAAGGCCAGAGTCCTAGAGGGCCTGGGAACCCCCATGGCACCAACAGGAAGAAATCGGGCGGCAAGGGGTCTCCCAGTGCCAAGGCTGCCGCCACTCTTGGTGGCTTCCCCCAAGGTGCCCTTACTTCTCCCTCTCCATGGGGGCCAAGTCCAGCCTGTTGCCAGCACCTCAGCCCTGGGAGACCCAGGCCCCACATGCAGGTCCCTACCAGACGCTCTCCTGGAGTGGGACATGGCTTTCCATGGGGAAGGCGAGACTGACATCGCTCCAGGTCCAAGTACATAACGTTAACCGCTAATCCAGTCGCAAAGCAACCTGTCACCAGCCACAAAATCAAAGTTCCTAATAGTCCCTAAATGCCAGCATGCCCTTCAACCAGCCGGGCAAAAAACTCTGCCTTGACCTTTGAGAGGAAACCTGATAGCCAGTAAATAAGACTCCAGAATGGGAGTAACATGAGCAGAGATGACCAAATGAGAGGGAGGGGGATTTCGGGTCAAGGACAGCCCAGGCACCTCAGGGCTGCCAAGGTCCTACCCATGGCTGGCTGGCTAATTTGTAAGTTCTTGCCAGTTCTGAGACCAGATTTTTAAAAAAACAGTTACATCTTTTTTTAAAAAGTATGTTTTTATTGATTTTACAGAAAGCAAGGGGGAGGGATAGAGAGATAGAAACATCTATGAGAGAGGAATATCATTAATTAGCTGCCTCCTGCACACCCCCACAGGGGATCAAGCCCGCAACCCGTGCGTGTGCCCTGACCAGGAATCGAACCCTGACCTCCTGGTTCACGGGTGGATGCTCAACCACTGAGCCACACTGGCTGGGCTGAGACCAGATTTTTAAGAAAATCTGTATGCTTCAGGGTGTTCTGTCAAAGGTGCTTTCTTGTCTTTCCTTATGAGGAGGGAAAGGGTTACCTAGACCTGAGTGAGGGTGGACAGACAAGAAAAAGTTAGATTTGAGCTCAGGGCTGCACTGCCAGCCACCTACTCACACTCCTCTCCCTCGATATTTCCGATGGGTTTCACCTGAAACTCAGCGGAAAACTAGTTTCTTCCACATGAAACTAACTGGCTTATTAAAAAAAAATTACTCCTTGCCCTAACTGGTTTGGCTCAGTGGATAGAGTATCAGCCTGTGGACTCCAGGGTCCCAGGTTCGATTCCAGTCAAGGGCATGTACCTTGGTTGCGGGCACATACCCAGTAGGGAGTGTGCAGGAGGCAGCTGATCGATGTTTCTCTCTCATCGATTTTTCTAACTCTCTACCCCTCTCCCTTCCTCTCTGTAAAAAAACCAATAAAATATATTTTAAAAAAAAATTACTCCTTGTAAAAAAATCCACACATAACAAATAAAGCTCAAAAAGCGCCCTTTACTAACCACGTGGCCCTAGGGAACCATGGTCACCTGTTGCTATACTTGCTCTGACTTCGTTCCTGCAATTTTGTGTATGTACATACATGTTTCTACAGACATGTGTTAAGAGGCACATACTGTGATTACAACTCAGCACGCTTCCCACATTAGCATACTCCATTCCACTGCACTGCACTCAAATGGCATGTGGACCAGAAGGTAACCATTTCCCTATCGGGTTGTCTTTTTTTTTTTTTAATATTACACCCCAGGCTCAAATGTGTGAATACCTCCGTAAATAGGCGTCTTTGTAGATTGAATATTCTTCTACGTAGCTACAGGGAAACCAAATTATTGGCCCATTTAACAAAATTTTTAAAAATGTTTTTCTTGATTTCAGAGGACAGGAGAGGGAGAGAGCGAAACATCAATGAGAGAATCATTGATCAGTTGCCTCCTGCATGCCCCCTATTGACCCGGAAGCGAACCCTGATCTTCTGCTTCATGGGTCAATGCTCAACCACTGAACCACACTGGCCAGGCTGTTCATTTAATCAGTGGTTCTCAACCTTCCTAATGCCGCGACCCTTTAATACAGTTCCTCATGTTGTGGTGACCCCCAACCATAAAATTATTTTCGTTGCTACTTCATAACTGTAATTTTGCTACTGTTATGAATCGTAATGCAAATATCTGATATGCAGGATGTATTTTCAGTTACAAATTGAACATAATTAAAGCATAGTGATTAATCACAAAAATAATATGTAATTATATATGTGTTTTCCCATGGTCTTAGGCGACCCCTGTGAAAGGGTCGTTCGACCCCCAAAGGGGTTGCGACCCACAAGTTGAAAACCGCTGATTTAAATTTTTTAAAAAAATATATTTTATTGATTTTTTTACAGAGAGGAAGGGAGAGAGACAGAGAGTTAGAAACATCGATGAGAGAGAAACATGGATCAGCCGCCTCCTGCACATCACCCATTGGGGATGTGCCCGCAACCCAGGTACATGGCCTTGACCAGAATCGAACCCGGGACCCTTCAGTCCGCAGGCCAACGCTCTATCCACTGAGCCAAACCGGTTTCGGCTGCTGATTTAAATTTTAATAGATATTGCCAAATTGCCATCTATAGTGGCTGTTATCAATCTATGAACAGATGCCAACAAAGTTAAGACAAATGACAATATGAAAGGAAAAAATATATACATCCAAAACAGAGTCAATATCCAGAAGCCATAAACAACTCCTATCCTTTATCCTTTATAATAAAAGGCTAATATGCAAATCGACCCAATGGCGGAATGACCGGTCGCTATGATGCACACTGACCACCAGGGGGCAGATGCTCAACTCAGGAGCTGGGCTCACGGCTGGCGAGCACAGTGGCGGTGGCAGGAGCCTCTCCTGCCTCTGCGGCAGTCAGACATCCCCCAAGGGCTCCTGGACTGTGAGAGGGTGCAGGCCGGGCTGAGGGACCCCCACCCCCAACTGCACTAATTTTGTGCACCGGGCCTCTAGTCCATATATATCTATATCTATATCTATATCTATATCTATATCTATGCCCAGCAACTGGAACAGCAGAACAAATGGTGGCTATGACGTGCACTGCAGCAGCCAACCGGCCTGATCTGGGCCCCGATCAGGCCTCCCCCGCAGCCAGCCCAGCCCACAATCGGCCAACACTCTGATTGGGGCCGGGGTCAGCCAGCCAACTGCCCGTGGCACCTCCCCTCTGCTGGCCTGATGGGCTCATCGGGGCGGGCTGGCCGGACCCCACCTGTGCACGAATTTGTGCACCAGGCCTCTAGTGAGTCAATAAAAACAAATTTTTTAATGAGCAAAGGATGTGGACAGGAAGTTCACAGAAGACAGGTGTCAACCTCACTAGTAATCAACAATTCAAAATAATAGCAACAGCACTTTTAAATCTATCATATTATTGAAATGCATGAAATTATGGTATAAAAACATGCTGATCAGGTTTTGAGGAAGGGTGTGCTCTAATACACTGCTTGCAACATGCCAGGCACTCTCTCCAGTGCTCCCCATACATTCAAATACCAAATCCCCAGTGCCTTTGAGGCAGGTCCTAAAATCATCCTCATCTCACAGATGAAGTGACATTTACCAAGATACCTCAGATAGCAAGAAGCTTTTGTTACATATTCTGTAGTTTCTTCTAATACTTACTTGCAAAGTTTTGTGTTTTTCAATTTAGGTCTTTTATTTAAGTTTTTTGTTATTTATTGATTTTAGGAAGAGAGAAACGTTTGTTGTTGTTCCACTTATTTATGCATTCATTGATTGATTCTTATATGTGCCCTGATGGGGAATTGAACCCACAACCTTGGAGTATCAAACCAACTGAGCTACCTCGCAACGTACAATTTAGGTACTTGAAATTTAATCTGGGCATAGGTGAGGTAAGGATATAACTTTATTTTTTCCAAATGGATAGATGTTTCCACGTGAACTAATTTAGAATAGGGTCATCTGTCCAGGCTTAAGCACTTGCAGCCCCCCAAATCTACTCCGTCACTCCAGGGGCCAAAATCAGGCTCTTCCTGGGTCTTCGGGCCTCACTTTCCCACCCTGCAGCATAGATGCTGACCAAAGCTGGGGCTTGGAGACCTAGTCTATGTACCCTTGCACGGCAGCCTGAGACAGAAGGGTGGTGATTCAACTGGCCAGCAGGTCCCGCAGTTCACTGTTGTGGGGCAGCAGGTCACATGCTAGTCGTGCCTTCCGATCTCGGACGGCCTTCAGGGCTGGGCTGTGTTGCAACAGAAGGGAGCAGATATCCACGTGACCATTCTCAGCAGCCTGTGGAGAGAACAGCCTGAATCAAAAGTCACACCTCACTGGGCCCTGCTCTTGCGCTACTTCTGGGGGTCTCTTGGTCCTCGTGGAAATGGAGACACTGGATGTTTGGGTTGGCTTCGCCTAACTCCTACCCACTCCCACGACAGGCACTCAGATGGGCGGAGTACTCTAGGGCCAGCCTGGCAGTTAGCTTGAGTTTTTGGTTCTCGTGGTCTTTGGCTCAGTGGCCATTCTTCCTTGTCCAGGCTGCACAATGAAGACAAGTACAGAACCCTGGGTCTCTAAGTGTCTTTTACAAACATTCTGATCATCTAGAGGGTGCTGGGCACCATGAGCACAAGAGACATCAGACATGGTCTCTGCCTCTTGGGACTTTCAGATGAGCAGAGGAAAACGGGCCCAGGTCCCCAGCTTTCTCCTCTCCTCCTCTGAGACAGATGATCCCAATCTGGATGTCAATTTCTAATTTATTTCCAAAAAATAGCAGTTAAGTGATTTACATAAATTATCTTATTTCACTTCCACAGTAACTATCAGAAGTAGGAACTATCATTATTCCCATTTTATAAACGAAGAAACTGAGGCTTATAAAAGTTAAGTGACTTACCTAAGGTCACAGAGCTAATGTGGCAGCCTGGGGATTCTAAGCAGGTCTGTCTGACCTCAAAGTCTGAACTCTTAACAACTGTCATACTACTATACTCCCTACTCCTCCCAACAGACAAACTGATGGAATACAGGGACTTTTGAGAGGTATCAAAATTAGTATTAGTAGCAACCATCATCTCAAATTTGAACCCAACTCTTTTTTAGCAGGTCCTTTTGATGAGTATAGACCAGCCCTGGGCAAATTACGGCCCGTGGGCCAGATCCGCCCGTTTGAAATGAATAAAACTAAAAAAAAAAAAGACCGCACCCTTTTATGTAATGATGTTTACTTTGAATTTATATTAGTTCACACAAACACTCCATCCATGCTTTTGTTCCGGCCCTCCGGTCCAGTTTAAGAACCCATTGTGGCCCTCGAGTCAAAAAGTTTGCCCACCCCTGGTACAGACCCAGGTTCTTAATTCTGTTGCCTCATTTCAGGCAGTGGTATGTTGTGAACAATTGTGAGATGCATTTCAAGTAATTTTTTTTAACAACAACAAAAAGTACCAATGTTTGCAAGTAGTTTATTTTTTTAAAAAAGAAAGTGAGGTCCAAGATGGCGGTGGTGTCAGGGGACACTGAACTCACCCCTCCATGAGCCACTGAAATATATGCCCACATATAGAGAGAGCCATTCCTCCAAGAGACCACTGGGAGCGACTGAGCGCTTCTGCACAATAAATGTCCGAGAGGAACTGCACAGAGAAGGCTGGGGAACCGTGGGAGCCTCCAAGACTGGTGGGAATTCCCTGGGTGCCAGTGAACACCCTTGCTTATGTTCCCCTCCACCTCCATAGGGCAGGTAGCAGCTCTATCCAGGGGCTCTGACCTCCACACAAGGTTCCTGCAGTGCTTTTCCAGCCGTACCACCCAGAGCCCATTCCAGCTCTGAACGAAGGGAGAAAACAGGATCAATAGGGCATTACCACACGCAGCTGGCTCCAATGGCCTGCCAAACGACCCAGCACACAAAGCCACAAGGCCACTTTTTCTTTTTTAATTTATTTTTATTTTTATTGATTTTAGAGAGGAAGGGAGAGGGAGAGAGAGATAGAAACATCAATGATGAGAGAGAATCATTGATCAGCTGCCTCCTGCACGCCCCCCTCCCCCACTGGGGATCGAACCTGCAACCTCGGGCATGTGTCCTTGACCAGAATAGAACCTGGGACCCTTCAGTCCACAGCCCAACACTCTATCCACTGAGCCAAACCAGCTAGGGCAACACAAGGCCACTTTTTCAAGACTGGAAAAGATAGCTATTTGTCTAGTTATATAAACTAGAATGTCAAACAAAATGAGAAAATGAAGGAATATCTCTCAAGGGAAGGAACAAGAAATATCCCCAGAAAAGAATCTTATTGAAACAAAGATAAGTAATTTATCCGATAAAGAATTCAAAGAGCCCTGACCAGTTTGGCTCAGTGGATAGAGCGTCGGCCTGCGGACTGAAGGGTCCCAGGTTCGATTCCGGTCAAGGGCATGTACCTTGGTTGCAGGCACATCCCCAGG